GAAGCTTACTAGCGAGGGTTTATCCGGCAAGGCCAAGTGTGTGTGTATTGGCCGATTATATATCGGAAGTTTACGTGACGGCTTTATTGTGCCTATTTGCACGTGTTGTGGGGAGCGAGTTGCCTCCCAAATATTCTTCCAGTGGAGTGATGAACACTCGGCGCCCTCGTAAAAGCCTTACACGTTACTAGTACCCTTCCGCTGTTGGGACCACGAGAATTCATAACACCTACTAGTTTTGCTTGTGCTAGTAGCGTGTTCTGATTTTCACTGGGTGGTCTATGTCAGCGATTTGCAGGTCCAGTCTGTCCCGGTGTAAGGGCTGAGTCTGGGGCTTCAGATCACGCCAGAACGATCGTTTGCCGTTCTGGTAGACGTATGGTTGTGGGTTTATCCTACCTACACTAGTAGCTAGAGTTGCCGTGGGAATTACTACACCACATCACCGTTCCAAGTGGGCATGTCCATGAAGGCACTGGAACAAAATGCTGCACGCATTTGCGTTGCACTTGAGTGCTACGTTCAAACCGAACAGTGTCGGACACCGGTGCTCGCCTGTGGCATTTCGTACCTTCCACCTTGTGGCGCTATTGAATACTTTACAGCTATAGGATACTCACTTCACCGTCGCACTTGTCGCTCTGCGACTCATATACGCACCGTGAACGGCAGTGAAATGCAAGTGAAATATGTACTCGGCGATGCCGTCAAAGCACAGCATAAAGAATTCCAGGGTGTCTTTGCGGACTGCCTAATCACCTATCTCTTGTGCTACTACCATGTAGTTGTAAAAATGTGCGAACGTACGCGCGGCTTAAGCTCGGAGCTGTCTGAGATAGTGTGCATAGGCATGTACGACTTGCACTTCTCTAACAATGAGACAGATTATGCCGAGCGGAAGGCATCAATGCTTGGATCGTAGACTAAGCACGCGGATTTCGACACGTTCCGTGCGTACGGGACGGGTCAGTTGCTACAGGGTAAATTCAAAACTGTCAATGCTTTGACACACCACGTGGCTACGCAACAACAAACAACCCGTTTGAGCTGTTCAACCGGGTGCTCAAGCCGAGATTACCACCAGCTCAAGATGGGGCAGCTGATAGCTCAACTCCTCGCTTGTTGTTGTCATTGCTCAATAGCGCTCCCTCGGTTCTGGTGTGGCGGAGTGGGGGTCGCAAAATTACGTCGCGATCCACTCTGACACACAGTGCCCTGGACTGCCGACTGGTGGAGGGGGTACTCCGATAACCGTGGGGTTGCTGA